TCTTTTCAATCTCACAAGCCAATCTGCAAACAATTAAAATTTGTTTTTAACTTTAATTTTGCTTTCACAACCAACTATTATTTTGCAGATCAGGTAAGTAAATTAATGATGACTTCCCAACTCACACATTTCCCAACCAGTCAGTATTGAACTTGGAATCTCTGCTGCTACCATGCCAGTATGTTATGAAGATCTCTATTATTCATTGAAGTCTTGTTCATTAGTGCAATTGGATGGGCAAAACTGCCATTTTCCTGTTATGCACGGCAGTTATGCAACTTGCTATTTCCCTTTCAAAGAAACGCAATAATCCATTGTCTTGTTTCAGCATTTTCTGTGGTCAGAAAATCACGTGACAAGATTCAAAGAACAGTGTTCTCCCGGTGCTCTGAAAAACTCTTTCTTCTCATCACTAGAAGCAAAATTAGCTGTTCAGCCATCTCATTGCTGTTTGTGGGACCTTATTACTTTCAAAATCATTGCTGGCTTTTCCTATGTAATGGTAGTGACTGCACTTAAAAAATAATAATAAAATGGCTGCAAATTGCTCCAATCCTGACAAATGTGATAAAATACCAAATAAATGCAACATTTCATTTTCATATTGGCTTTTTCGAAAGATTGCACAAGGCCACTGATAAGTCAAGCAGCTGCCTCATTTCTAGTGAGTGGCAAAGAACAGCCTGAAAATAATGAAAGAATGACAGGTTATGGGAAAAGACTTTGTGTCATACACTCACAGAACAGGTACTAAACTTAAGAATTAGTTTGGTTGCCTTACTTGAGAGTTTTTTTTCAGATCCGTCGCCTTGTGTGTTTGGGGCTAATTGTTTTTATGTTCAGATATTGGTAACAATATTCATAATCAGCTATTTTCTATTCGGTTTTCTGCTAATTTTTTTTGAAAAGGCCATTCAATGTCAGAGACGATGACTTTCTTTCCTCACTGCAGAATAAGCTTGAATGCAGCATGAGTGAATGTCATAGTGTGTGTCTAAAAATGTTTGTAAGAAAGAATGCACCACTTACGTTGTTGTTGAATCTTTTCAAATGAGCCTTTTACTGTTGACCTCAAGCGTGTAAACCGTGCATTATCTGTATGACTGGTGGTTCATTCTACATAGTCAAAATATGCTGGTCACTAATATTATCAGTATACAATCATACTGAGTGTATTTACAGAAAGCACTTCTATTGCACAGTTTGCCTTGATTCATTAGTGCTCAGTACTCATCAGCTATGTGATGAAAAGCTATGGCATTGTCCAAACACCACTTAAGGAACTATCCTGAGATCATTCGCAATTGCTAAAAATACTTTCAATACCTGCAGCAAAGCACACAAAGGGTAACTTTCTGCTTTTGTGCCTCTGACAGCAAATCTCCTTGTCAGGAGCACAAATTACTGTTGTGTGTCCCTTTTTGCGCCTGCTTTCTCTTTCTGCCTTGATGTTTGTAGGAATATACATTCTACCAAAGCTGACAAACCTCAAGTGTATCTCCCAAGTGACTATTTTCCATGGACAAGGTCAGAAAGTTAATGGCAACCCTTGTCAGGCTTTCCCTTCTGGTGGAGCCTTGGATACAGCGTATCAGAAAGGTCGCGAGGCTGCTAAATGAATTTCTGAACTGTCAGCTGTGACAAGGCTCTGGTAACAATGAAGAACCTCATCACTTTTACCATCAATCTGTCTGGATTAATATTTAACCCTCAAAATGTCATAAAAACACATAGTTTTGTTGCATTCTTATTCTTGCACACATTAGCTGCCATGTGTCCTACATTCCAAGAGAGGTTACACTTCAGAAGTACCATACATATAATATGAGTAAAAATTGATCTTATCTGGAAAGTGACCCATACCTTTTGGCTTTAAAATTTAGGAATTTTTCACACACCTCATGTAAAAATTGAGCCTCTTTTTTAGGGATCAAACTGCCTTGCTCCATCTCCTCCCTGCTTCCTGTCTACAGTTTTGATCTCCTTATTTGAGAAACGATGTACTGGCACTGGAGGGAGTACAGAGGAGGTCCACTAGATTGACTCCAGAGTTGAGAGGGTTGGCTTATGAAGAGAGATTGAGTGGACCGGGACTATACTTGTTGGAATTTAGAAGAATGTGTGAGGATCTTATAGAAACATATGAAATTATGAAGGGAATAGATAAGATAGAAGCAGGGAGGTTGTTTTCACTGGTGGGTGAAATTAGAACTAGGGGGCATAGCCTCAAAATAAGAAGGAGCAGATTTAAGACTGAGTTGAAGAGAAACTTCTTCACCCAAAGGATTGTGATGCTGTGGAATTCCCTGCCTAGTGAAGCAGTTGAGGTCACCTCGTTGAATGTTTTTAAGGCAAACATAGGTTTTTGAACAGTAAAAGAATTAAGGGTTATAGTAAATGGGTGGGTAAGTCCACAAAAGGATCAGCCATGATCTTATTGAATGGTGGAGCAGGCTTGATGGGACAGATGGTTTACTCCTGCTTCTATTCCTTATGTTCTTATGTTCCACCAGGATCAGTTCACATGTGCACCAAAAAGTAGAGGTGCTGACCAGGAAATCACAGGTGTCAATCTGCCTGTCTGCTGGAATCTGTTTGAATTGATGCTCTACTAATACTCCCATCATGTACCGTCCAAATCACAGCCTTCCCCCGAGGAGGTAAAGCTGCAACCAGACAAACTGCTGATCCTCCCCGCTGCATTGGGACTCTAGAACTAAACAATGCAACCTGTCCAAAGATGACAGTCAGTGAACAGCAGCAGGAATGACTGCTGATAATCCTCTTTGCCGAGGAGCAAATGTAAGCAATTGGGAGGAGGAAACCTGAGTGATTTTTCTGACCTCTTGCTTAGAAGGGCTGAGGTCAAGTGTATTGCTGATTTGCCTGTGATCTGCTAAGTCCACAGAGATCCTAATAAATCCAGGATGATCCTGTCTTTTCCTCAAGGCCACACTTTGTGTCAGAATTTTGTTTCTAACCAAGTGTTACTTGTTTAATTAATGCCTTGTGAAGTGTGTTGGCAAATTTTGCTACATTAAAGTGCTATATAAATGCAAGTTGATGAGTTTTATTTTGGCAGGAAATCCCAGAAAAGTATTTTTAAATGTATTTAAAATTTTCTTTCTCTTTTAATTAATTGAGTTCCCTAGAGTCAGAAAGGTGATACAATGCAGAAGGGAGTCTTTTGGGCCTATTATGTCTGCATCAGATTTTCAAATGAGCATCTTTACTTACTGCCAATTTCCAGCTTTTCCCCTTAACCTTGCATATTATTTGTATCTAAATAATCATCCAATACCCTCTTAAATGCCTCAGCATCACCAGTCAGTAGTACATTATAGTTATAATATGTTGATTTGTAAAAATGTTCAGTGTAAACTTAATTTTCAGAGAAGACTAAATAAACTTGCTGTAATGTCTGTATTACCTGATGTCAGGGGAGAGCCAACAGCACTCATAAAGCTGTATTTAAATGGAACTAATTATTCTGTTTAAGCTAGTGCATGCTTAGGGAGCATAAGTAGAAAATGGGATTATAGATCAAGAAATGTACTCATGGTAACAAAACTTGACAGACTCAAAAAATTGAAGTGATGGCAATTGAGAAATTCATCCAATGGCTACATAGGTGGGGCTGTGTGGTGTTTGGGGTGGAGAAAAGTCACTATTCAGTGTCAGTAATTCAGTCAAGTGTGTGAGATAAGAGCAATGAGCAAAAAATAATGAGAGAAAAGCTGTTTGTTCGAGGGCACTATGTTATTTGGAACTTGAATGTAATAAATGTGGGAATGAATTGCAGTTTACAGGGCATTAACATGTTTTCTGATTATGCCACCTTTCATGCCTTTGGTCTGACTTCTCTTCCCCCTCCACTCCTGAAGATTCACCAGATTCCTGCGTGCAGCCATTAACAATTAACTGTCTCACCTACTAAATGTCTATTCCCCATATGTGAAACCTAAACTGTTAATGTTGGCAAACTGTTTAGTCATGGAGATTATGGAAGATGAGCTGGTGCTTGTCCTCAGTGGATATTCCTGTTCACTTTTCACATGAATTAATGGATAGTATTTTCACTGCACTGTTGTTACCATTGTAATTTAAATGCAGGGTGAAATTCCAATGGAGGAAACTGGTTTTGAAGGTTATAAGATGTCAATGGTTTAAATTACTTAATGTCAGCATCTATTCTATAGAATTCCTGATCCAGCCTTAAATATAAATGACATCTGGCTGAAGCATAAATACTTGCCCAGTGATTTCTAAAAGGTTAATTTCACTTCTCTTGTACAACGTGTTTTTGTTCAATACTTTCTCTTGTCATCGTTGAGATGTCATTGCTGAATGCATGGTTTAGAGGCTATGACTCAACAATCTATGAAATTGCCTGTTATTCTTCAATTTATAGAGTCCTGTAATGTCTACATAATCCTAATCCAAGTATAGTATTTCTTGCTGTCCTGCAAAGACTCAACACCAGTTCAGCTGAAATATTGAATTGATTAAAATCAATCACTCCCCATTTTATATCTAAATATATTTAACCTAAGCATGAAAGATTTGTTATCTGGCCAGATTGGATCCTTTTAAGACCATGGCCATTCTTTGTAAGTGTTAAACATTTAAGGAAGGAATTGGCAGGGCTACTCAGTGATTTGAAAACTAGTGTGATCTACAGATTATAGGCACTGCTGCTATTACATGGACCTTTGCCTGAACTCATTTAAATTATCATCTGTCAGCTCCAGTTTAATAACCTTTGCTTTGTTTATAAGTGATGTAAAAGCTTGTTTTAGTTACTTGTCATCATATGACCCAACACCTCATCTATCTCTACCAGAGATTACTGTTCATAAAGTAATAAAATAGGATCATCGGTTATTCACTGTACGAACATAGGCACAGTTAATTGCTTCTACAGATTTCACTTAGCTTGGAACTCTCTTAGGGACTGGAAACTTTAATTTTGTTTTCAATTTAAATTTTAATCTTTTTAGACAGGTGCAAGCAAGAGTGTGATGGTGTCAATCTGATAGATTCAGGAGGTCTGGCTGATTTACCCATAAAACCTCTGAGAAGATGGCAGGTATGAATTTTTTAAAAATCAAGCCAATTCTTCTGAGGCCAAGATTTTGTTATAGTCTGCTGTGGTCTGAAATCCTTACTGTTGCAAATCACTGTCCCATCCACCTTTCTCCTCTTCTGGAGGTCAGTGAATCTCAATCTATTGTATTTTGAAAGTCTGCTGTAGACTTTAAACAATCTGCTTCGGGTGCCTTTGCACATGAGCCAGCCCTGTGTTTTAACTACTTTGCAATGAGAAATTGGTTATCTGGTACTTTCAGGCAGACTGAGCCCTTCTGACAAAAGTGCTTAATGCAGCCAATATGTCAATGCGATGATATAGCCCAAACCTAGCGTAAAATTCCAAATGATTCTGTTTGTTGCTGATAGTTTGCTTTGAAGGGGAGGTTGGCTCATTTTCTTTGATGTTGTTCCAAACCTTCTTGAACTTGGCCTTTAGAAATAAGCCTTATTTTGTGTCAAAGCTCTGAATACTGTCATATGAGAGCAAAGGAGAAACATTTCTGTCTGATTTGATCTTTGAAATGTTATTTATTACGGCTCTTATCTTGAAGGCTACTTATTGGACACTGGCCATCTTTCTATCCCTGATTGCCAGTACAATTGCTTCATCCCAAGAGGAGAACAGGTTTCCAGTGAATAACCCACAATCCAGACAGATACCAGCTCAGGACAAGAAAGTTTCCATCAGTAGGACTTCAATGGAAAGCCAAGAACCTCTGGAGAGTCAAGGATCCCTGAAAAGTGAAACAGATGAGAGCAGGGAATTGCCAACTCAATCTGTCTGGGCTGCTGCACATTGTAAGTATAGCAAATTGATCATAAAACATTGTGAGGCAACAGTTAATACTTGAATCAATAGAAGCAACTTAAAAAAACAAATTTAATCTCTGTGAAGAGACTATATTTGTAGGACAACAGGGAAAAGGCAAGGTGTGGGACTAAGTGGGTAACTCTAATAGAGAGGTAGAATGGGCATGATGGTAAAATCATCAACTATTCTGTGATGATTTTACAGTCTATTTCACTACATAGCATCTGTTGGCAGAGAAGGCAATCAACTTGAACTCAGACTATCATCAACAGTACTCTGTAATTACCCGCTGGGAGATGCACAAAAATAGAGTTGACTTCTGACTAACTTCCCTTTATATGTAGAAAACTCTTTCCTTTCACTGGTTCTAGCCTTTCTCTCTTCTAGACAGTTTGCAGTGAATTGAGAGCATAGCATCTGAAGAATCATAAGCAGATGTCCCACCATTAATTATGATGTGGAGGTGCCGGTGTTGGACTGGGGTGGACAAGGTCAGAAATCACACGACACCAGGTTAAAGTCCAACAGGTTTATTTGAAAACACAAGCTTTCAGAGCTTCGCTCCTTCTTCAGGTGTTAGTGAGAGAGGCAGTATCAGACACCGAATCTATAAGCAAAAGATCAAAGGGTCACACCACTGATGAAGTTGTATTAGATGAACCTAAGATGCTGATAAATCTTTAATCATTTAGAAGATTTTAATTGATTAATATGTATGTAAATCCCCAAATTCCTTTCAAGTCACTGTCCTACCCTTTGATCTTTTATAAATTCTGTGTCTGATACCACAACCCTCACCAACACCTGAAGGAGGAGTGAAGCTCCGAAAACTTGTGCTTTCAAATAAACCTGTTGGAATTTAACCTGGTGTCATGTGATTTCTGACCTTGTCCACCATTAATTAATAATGGATTTGGAATACTGCACTCAATTCTGGTCTCCCTGCTATAGGAAAGATGTTGTGAAACTTGAGAGGTTCAGAAAATGTTTGCAAGGATGTTGCCAGGGTTGGAGAGTTTGAGCTACAGGGAGAGGCTGAATAGGCTGGGTCTATTTACCCTGGAGGTTGAGGTGTGACCTTGTAGAAATTTATAAAATCGTGAGGGGCATAGATAGAGTGAATAGCCAAGGCCTTTTCCTCAGGATAGTGGAGTCCAAAACTACAGGGCATAGGATTAAGGTGAGAGGGGAAAAATTTAAAAGGGATCCTAAGTGGTAGCTTTTTCACGCAGAGGGTGGGGTGTGTATGGAATGAGTTGACAGAGGAAGTGGTGGAGGCTGGTACAATTACAGCATTTAAAAGGTATCTGGATGGGTATATGAATAGGAAGAGTTTAGAGGGAAATAGGCCAAATGCTGGCAAATGGGACTAGATTAATTTGGGATATCTGGTCGGCAGGGACAAGTTAGATCAAAGGGTCTGTTTCCATGCTGTACAGCTGTTTGACTCCATGAATGGTAGTATATGTCATTCCCATTCTCCAAAGGGCTCTTTTTGAAATTTTCTTAGACCATAAGATATAGGAACAGAATTAGGGTATTTAGACCATTCAGTCTGCTCTACCATTCCATCACTCTAAACCTCATTCTCCTGCCTTCTCCCCATAACCCTTGATTCCCTTACCAATCAAGAACCTATCCATTTCTGTCTTAACTGCACTCAATGTCTCGGTTTCCACAGCCCTCTGGGGCAATGAGTTTCACTGATTAACCACCCTTTGGCTGAAGAAATTCCTCCTCATTTCAGTTTTAAAGGGTCGTCCCATCACTCTGAGGCTGTGCCCTTGGGTCCGAGTCTCTTCTGCTAGTGGAAACATATTCTCCACATCCACTTTATCCAGACCTGTCAGTATTTTGTCAGTTTCAATCAGATTTCCCCTCATCCTTCTAAACTCCATTGAATACAGACCTCATATGACAATCCCCTGGATTACTCTTGTAAAGAACCTCTGAACACCCTCCAAGACCAACACATTCTTCCTTAAATACAGGGCCCAAAACTGCTCACAATATTCCAAATCTTGTCTGGCCAGAACCTTAAACAGCTTCAGCAGTAAATCGCTCCTCTTGAAATGAATGCTAACATTGCATTTGCGTTCCTAACTGCCAACCAAACCGGCGTGTTAATCTTAAGAGAAACCTGAACTAGAACTCCCATATACCTTTGTACTTCAGATTTCTGAAGCCTTTCCCAATTTAGAAAATAGTCTATGCCTCTATTCTTCTTACCAAAGTGCATAACCTCACACTTTCCCACATTGCATTCCATCTGCCACTTCTTTGCCCACTCTCCTAGCTTGTCCATATCGTCCTGCAGCCACCCTGCTTCCTCATCACTACCTGTCTCTCTACCTATCTTTGTGTCATCCGCAAACTTAGCAACAATGCCCTCAGTTCCTTTGCCTAGATTGTTACTATATAATGTTATGATCCCAACACAGGCCCCTGAAGAACTCCACTAGTCACCAGTTGCCGTTCTGAAAAAGACCCTTCTACTCCTACTCTCTGCCTTCTGCCAGTTAGCCGATCTTCTTTCCATACCAGTACCTTGTCCCTAAAACCATGGCTCTTATTTAGCAGCCTTCTGTGTGCCAATTTGTCAAAGGCCTTCTGGAAATCCAATAGAACATGTCTGCTGGGTCTCCTTTGTCCAACTTGCTTGTTACCTCCTCAAAGAATTCGAACAGATTTGTTGCGCATGAAGCTATGCTGATTCAGCCCTATTTTACCATGCTGTTCCAAGTACTCCGCAATGTCATACTTAATAATGGATTCTAAAATCTTACAATGACGCAGGTCAGGCTAACAAGCCTATAGTATCCTGTCTTCTGCATCCCTCCTTTCTTAAACAGGGGTGTTACATTAACTATTTTCCCAGTCTTCTGGGACCCTCCCTAACTCCAGTGATTCCTGAAAGATTACCACCAATGACTCCACAATCTCTTCAGCTATCTCCTTCAAAACTCTGAGGTTTACTGCATCTGGTCCAGGTGATTTATCCACCTTCAGCCCTTTCAGCTTTCCAACACTTTCTCCTTAGTGATGGCCACTACATGCCCTCTGACTCTCTTGGAGTTCTGGTATGCTGCTGTTGTCTTCCACTGTGAAAATTGATACAAATTACCCATTCAGTTCCTGTGCCGTTTCTTTGTTCCCCATTATGACTTCTTTAGCCTCATTTTCTAGTGGTCCAATGTCCGCTCTTGCCTCTGTCTTATCTTTTAGATATACTAAAAAAACTCTTGCAATCTTATTTTATATTAAGAGATAGCTTGTTCTCATATTTCATCTTCCAGCCTCCTAATTGAATTTAACTTATTCTGTGCTGGTTTTTAAAGGCTTCCCAAACCTCTGACTTCCCGCTAATCTTCACCACATTGTATGCTTTTTCTTTTGCCTTTATGCTATCCCTGAACTTTTGTCAGGCATGGTTGCCTCATCCTCCCCTAAGTATGTTTCTTCTTCCTTGGGATGAATTTCTGCTGTGTCTCTTGAGGACTATTTTTTGATTCTTAGGGCTTCTCTTTAATTCTGACTGACTCCTTTAATAGGTAATGCAATCACTTGTATTTGTGTTGATTCTTTTCTTGAGGTTTCCTCCTTTTGATAAAATTGCAGGGAGGCGAAATGGAGAGACTATAATAGCTCATCCAATCTGAAACCAAGGATAGAGTCATGGAGTCATACAGCATGGAAACGGTCCCTTCAGGCCAAAATGTCCATGCCAGCCAGGTTTCTCAAACTAAACTAGTTTTTTTGCCTATGTTTGGGCCATATCCCCCTAAACCTTTCCTATTCATGTATCTGTTCAAATGTCTTTTAACTGTTGTAATTGTACCTGCCTCTACCACTTCCTCTTGCAGTTTGTCCCATATATGCACCATCCTTTGTGTGGAAAAAGTTGCCCAACAAAATTAAATTTTCGCCCTCTCATCTTAAACCTATGCCCCCTAGTTTTGCAATCCCCTACCCTGGGGAAAAGACCCTGGCTATTCACCTTATCCATGCCTCTCGTTATTTTGTAGACCTCTGTAAATTATGAGGTCACCCCTCCAATGATAGATTAGATTGAATTTGTGTGCCAATTATGTGTCAATACTTGATTTAAAATAATCCCTTTATTTGCCAACAGTGTGAAATAGTGGTTCAAAACTAGAACAGAGAAAATGTACGGAATGTGAATAACAGCAGTTTGGTTGAAATGAAAGTTTCCATTATAGCCACATTATTGAATACTTACCTATACAGTCTAAATATACTATTAGACATTTTACTCCTTGATAAAAATTTGATTTATTTACAATAATGTTTTTTCTTCTTGCATTGGATGGGGGCATCACTTGACAGGCCATTTGTTTCCCATCCCTAATCACAATCAAACCCATTGGATCTCTTGGCTATTTTAGAGGGCAGTTAAGAGTCAACCATGTGTCTGTGTGTCTGGACTAAAATGTAGGTCAGACCAGATTAGGATGGCGGATTTCCTTCCATATAGAACATTAGTGAACATGATAGATTTTTCTGACAATTGACAATAGCACCACGTTTGCCATTTAAAACTTTAATTGGAGTCAAATTTCACCATCTGCAATGGTGGGATTTGAACCCATGAGCCTGGAGCTTTGCATTACTAGTCTCATGACATTGTCGCCACACCACTGCCTCCATAATTGTGCAAACTGCAAGACAGAAATGAAGCAAAAACAGAAATTTCCGGAAAATATCAGCAAGTCTAGTAACTTCTGTGAAGAGAAATCAAAGATAGAAATGAATTTGGTTTGCTTAACACATTTCATCTCTATCAGTTACTTTCACTGTCAATCATCACATTTCTTGTTCTTTAGCTTCTATTTCATTTTTTTTCAAAATCAGGTTTTTCTTTTATTGCTATAAAGACTGTGGGTTAATGCATATGAGTAAATTCACCAGAGTGACCTCAGTATTTCAATATTTCAGCTTTACACACATTTAGTGCTAGTAATACAAG